ATATTACATGTTTCCCAACGGGCATTTGTTGATTTAAAATTGGTTTAGATCACGTTTAGATGGCATTTACGTCGATCTAAACGTTTGGGAATCTATTCTGAATATTGAAAAGCTAAATCAAACAATTTCCGTACGGAACTAATTAGTTTCGCACAGAATGTGTCGGACATTTTGAATCTTTCATTATGATTAAAAGTTAGAATTTCTTATAAATCTTAAATTATGTAATAAATGGTTTAGAAAAGATAAAAGAAATTTGTTTTTAGTATTATATTGTGGCTAATGAAGCAGCTAAAAAGTCCTGTAAGTTTTTCGATAATATTTTATAAGAAATTAATTGTAATTTTAAGTACAGTAACAAATTGTTAAACAAAGTATTTTGATAATTTTTATTTATTTGAGATAATTTTTATTTATTTTTTTTATTTATTTTTATTTATTTGAGTTTTCATGCTATATTTTTCTATACAATGTTCTTATATCCGAAGATATTGTTGGCTTAGCATAGGAACAACCACAAATAGTCATTAAGACTAATCCAAAGTAGCGTCCGTTATTGACCAAATTTTTTGCGTACCGAATTACTACTCAAGCGCTGAGTTGGCGGTGGCGGGATTTGAACCCGTATCGTTCAACAGTCCGGGTTTTTAACTTTTCCTTTGACGCTCTAACCATCTGAACTATCCCGCCCAATTCTTTTTTTTAGTTATTGCTTCTGAAATAGCAGTATCAAAAAAGTAGCAGTAGTTTCAAAAAAGTAGCAGTTTCAGTATTTTTTTTAAAACTATTTCTTAAATTGTTTTTTCTGTTTGGTTTTTAACAACGTTATAGAACGTCTATAGTTAACTCTTAGCTTCCTAATTTTTCTACTTTTACTAAAAGTAGAAAAATTATGAAAAATAGTTACCACTTAAAATGCATAAATTTTCTCTAAAATTTTTAGAGAAAAATTATGCATTTTAAGTGATAACTACTATTTAAATAACTAAATAAAATTATTATTGTTAGTTTATATTAAGACCTAACATCTATTTGTTTATGATAGATGTTATATTGATCGAATAGCAATGTTATAATATTTATACTTTTAGTGCAGTCAGTGCCAATCAAAAATTGTGAGGTTCAATTGTTTATATAATGGATCTTCAGTTTTAGTGTAGGCTGAAAAATATTTTTTAAATTGAAGTATTATTCATACTCCTCTATGATAACCACTAAAGACAAAATAAATTTATTTACCTCATGAATGATTATTATATTGTATCATTTATTTTCTCTTTAGCAGAAAAGTTAACATGGTTTGAACAATAATATATATAGCTATATTACATAATTTTCTAAAATCCGCGCAAATATATATTTTATTTTTAATTAAGTTTTGTGTGTTTAATTTCATTTAATATTTTATAAACAATTCAGTCAGTTGCAACAACAATTAAAGTAGCAGGAAACAGCCAAGTATTAGCCAGGTAGTAAATTGATTTTTTGTGACGTTTTTACTCCTTTAAAATTTAGATTTTCCTAAAATAATAATTGAGTAAATGACAATTTCTGTAAAGATCATTCTGTAAATAAATTGTAATGATTTTTAAAACTAATAGTTATTTTTTTAGTAATCACAAGATAAAATGCAAACTCTGTACTTTTAGATATGATTCTAATAGTTGAACATCTGTCAGATATTTACCTTTTAAATCATAATCTAATTGCTCAGGTTTATGAAAAGCTATTTATAAAGTTTCAATGCTTCAAAAATAATGTAAGATTAAAGGTAATTCCTGTTTTATTTGAAAGGTATGTTGATGATTGGTTCGAGTCTTAAAAGTTTAAATTAGTTAAAAGAGAGTTCAAATTGTTCTGTTTTTATCTTATGCTCTATATCTAAAAGCTATTGAAATATTTATTGCATTATTATTCATTTATTTTATTATGTTACAAAAGACCTATTAAACCTGAAATTTTACGGGTCGAATTATATAGTATGTATATGCAGGCCTCGGCGGGAATAAATGAGCACGAAAACGGAGAAAAGCTCTCCTAAAAGGAACTTGGGGAGCTGTGCGAGCTGCTCCTCATTTAAATCGGCGCTCTTTAATTTTGATTTTTTTTTGCAACAACTTTTTATAAAGCATTGCAGTATATTATGCAATTAATTTTTTTTAAATGACATTGTGTTTTTTATTTTAGTTATGATAATAATTATACTTTTGTAAAAAAAATTATACTTTTGCGAGAGCTGTAAATTGCTCTTGTAAAGCGTTTTAGGGGAGTGTGGGCGAGAAGCAAGAGCTAAAGCTCTCGCTTCCAGCCGAGGCCTGTATATGTATATCATCCCTTGGAATTAGGAAACTAAAGTCAGCAAAAAAAAGCTAAAAAACTAAACGACTAATTTAAAACACTTTTTACAAGTTTAGTTTTTATTAATTTTATGTGTTGATGTACCTTCAACCAAATTAGTGTTAATATTTAAGAAAAATGTCATATTGCCAGGCTGTTTGGTTAGAAGAACCAAAAGCTTGATATTTTATTGAGTTGTTATTTTAATTTGTGATATTATAACTTTTATTCACAAAATGTTTAATATTAAATAGACAAATAAATTTTACTTTTTAAATTTATTTGTCATTGCTTTGGATAAGATGTTTTAATATTCGTTTTACAGATTATTATGAGGATTGCAAAAGTTTTAAATAACAGAAACTGAAAAAGGCATCGAGTTATTATTACTACTTTAATTCAATAACAGTAGAAATGGTTAATTATGGAAAAATTGCACTTAATGTTAAATAAATCGCTTGTTAAAGCAAGTAATATTATATATATATATATATATATATATATATATATATATATATATATATATATATATATATATATATATATATATATATATATATTATAAATTTAAAAATAATAGTTTTATTTAGTTTGTTCTAATTTTTATGTATAAAAAAAAAGAAGCAAGTTTTAATAAGTAAATGATTAACCATTTTTACTGTATGATAAAATAGTTTTTATTTTTCAGTTGAGGAAGAATTTTATGTTAATGTTAATGCAAAAGGTACGAATATTGACAGGTTAGTTAATTTGATGTTACAATAAACATGAAATAAAGTATGTGAAGACCTTAGTGCTAGAAGTACTTGCATGCATTATTTATGCATACTATATTATAATATAGCATGCATGCATGATGCATTCAAGTATAAAAAAAAGTTACAAATGTTTAATTATACAAAAAGATTATGGATATGGTACCGCTAGTATATTCAATTGATTATGCAAGTAAGTTGTCTTACTTTACATCTTTGAAAACTAGTAATAATTGTAATGAACATATCTCAAACAATATACAACCATTTACATTTTAGTTAAACCATCACCACTTCCACAGCCACCTTGTCTCAAGCATTCAATTGCATTCTAAGATATCTCTATTCAAATCAAGTGTGACTACTGTATCAAAGACTTTAGAATGGACCAATCAAGTAAGATGTCTAAATTTATATATTTTATATAGAACTCCTTTACTTTTAGATAAACCTGTTAGTTTTATGACTTATGCACATATTAAGCAATGTAATCCTTTTAGGATAGACTTTTTAAAATCAAATTTACAATGCTTTAGTAAATTTTTATTTAAAATAACTTTGCATACATAATATATCTAAATAGTTATTTACATTGTAGCTAACCCATAAGTACTTGCAAAGTCTCCTTTTCTGTTAGCCTGAAAAATGCGTTCTAAAATACCATTATTCCCATAACTACTATATCAAAACACAAACTAATGGATTGATCAAGTCATAGTTAACTTTTAGCCTGAGTTGCGTGTTATTACAGATATGATTTTGATATATAAATTTTAATTATTATGTTTATTGATTAGTTTTTAACTTTAAGAATTTTAAGAATTACAATTTTATTTTTACATGTTTGTTTATATTGTGGTGAAACTATCGGTATCTCCACAACTTTTCAATTGAATAGAAAGTTTCAATCAAACAGGATACTGAGTGTGCCTACTGCTCCTCAAGACAATGGATAATGGGAGTTATCAAACTTTATATATATATATATATATATATATATATATATATATATATATATATATATATATATATATATATAATATATATCAAGTTATCAAACTTTATATATATATATATATATATATATATATATATATATATATATATATATATATATATATATATATATATAAATATATATATATATATATATATATATATATGTACAGATATTGTTATAAAGTAATAGAATACTATATAATATTGTATTACTATGTTTAGGAAGGGCACTGCAATTGTCCTGCAGTTATGTAACTTATCAGTTATCAACCCATAACTGCGATAACTACAAGTTTTTTTAATAAGGTTTTAATTATATAAATGTTATATAATTTACAGAGTTTTAAAGAAAAGTTCTCTATCAATTGTTGCTATAGTTACTCAATGTACACTGTTCTAATGTACAATCTTCTAAAATCTATAAAACAATGGGTTTATAAAGTTGTTGATTGAATGATTTATATGAATAGAATGAAGATGTTTATTGAGTTATTTTTATTATTTTTAGAAAAGAGAATGTATGACTTCGGTATCGCAATACGATATCTTGCATTGGTTTCTATCTTAGAATGGCTCCCTTCCGTATAGGTGGAAATAGGAACGGTTATGTCCTTTTTTCTAATTCTTAAGACGAAGAGGCTTAATCGGTTCAAGCAAAGATGACGATGATCATTATGGAGATGATCATTATGTATTTTAGACTTATATAAATAAAAAAATATCTGTTTAACGTTTGATTTATTTATGAGTATTTAGATAATGCGTTCAGCGTTTAACTCTTTTTTACAGTGCTTGTTCAAAGCAGCTTAAATAAAAGAAAAGTTTGATTCGTTTATCAGTATTTCTTTTATTTATGCTTCTTTAAATAAACGCCGTAAAATAAAGTTAAACGTCTCAAAGTTTAAAACGAAAGATTTAGGTGGAGTTTAAATAGCGTTTAAAACGAACCATTTAGATATGGTTTAAATGGAACATTTGATTGACCTACGTTCTAGATCGAAACTAAATTAAATCTAAACATTTAGAACGAACATTAACTAAACGTTGATAAAATGTTCGAATGCTTGCTGGGTTATTATATTTATCATGTTTTAAATAGTAAAGTAAAAATATAATAAAATTTTTAAATTTAATAGTATGTGTATAAGTCCTTTTATTTTAACTTTATCATTTTATTTAAATCATTGCATTATAAGTTTAACTGGTGATAGAAATAATGTTTTACATCTTTCAGATAGATCGGACAAAGAAGTAAGTTTTTTTGTAAGTTACGATTTATAAGTTATAACATATTTGTTGCTGCCTTGTTCTATATAAATGTTATCAATATTTAGGTAACATTTATATATGTGCAATCTTTTTATTTTAACTTTATCATTTTATTTAAATTATTACATTAACAGCAGGCAGGTTTGACTGGCAATATAACTGAATTTGTACATCATGCAGATAGCTCAGACAAAGAAGTAATTTTTTTTTTAAACTACAATTTATAAGTAATACTATATTTGTTGCTGCCTTGTTCTATATAAATATTACTTTAAGGTAATATATATACACGTATTGAACATGTATTGAAGGTAACATATATACATGTATTGAATGTAACATATATACATGTATTGAACATGTATTGAAGGTAACATATATACATGTATTAGTTTATGCATAAATCTTTTTATTTTAACTTTATCATTTTATTTAAACTACATTTCGCACAGTAATGTTTGACTGGAAATATAAATGTTGTACATCATGCAGATAGCTTGGGTGGTAAAGAGGTAACAATCTTATAATTATTATTTATAAATAATGACATATTCATTGCTACTATTTTCTATATAAATGTTACCCAACGTTTGGTAAGATTTCTATAGACTATTCAAAAAGATGTATGTTGATACGTAATTATAAAGTAAGTTATAATAGATAATAATTATAATTATAAATAAATTAGTAAATAAAGAAAATTAGTTAGTATTTATATATTAATTGTATGATGTATAGTCTAGATTGGTGAAATGGACAATGATACTAACTGTGGTCAAATGATACTAACTGTGGTCGAATGATACTAACTGTGGTCAAAACAATAATGAATATCAAAATGTAAATGTTAATTTCTTTGACGATTACCTAGTTCTGCAATTACAGTTGGCTGTGCAATCGCACTTATAATTGGTTTTGATGTTTTTTTAGATTGAATATATTGTATTGATGGTTCTTTTTAATTTGTTGAAACTTTAAGTTATTAGTTATCAAATTTATATATACTATTTTTATCAAATAGTTGATATAAAATAATAAACATGCAAATTGTTATATTTTATGTAAAAATCTATTTCAATTGTTTATCACTAAATGTATATATATCATATATATATATCATATATATATATATATATATATATATATATATATATATATATATATATATATATATATATATATATATATATATATATATATATATATATATATATATATATATATATATATATATATATATCATATGTATATATGATATATATATACATATGATATATATATATATCATATGTATATATATCATATGTATATATATTATTTATAGTGTATTACTTGTAATTTTTGTAAATTTTTGTAAATTTGTTTTATTTATTATCAGTATGCTTATACATATGCATGCGTTAAATATTGTGGTGAAGTCAAATTTTAATGTTTTAGGTGCATTGTAGCTATCATTTTTCAAAGTTTTTTAGGATTCAACAAGATTTAAATTTTATTTTGCTTATCGATTTTATTCCGCCCGTAGATTAAAAAAACTCAATAATATTAGCGAGTTGCGTGATAAAATTTGCTTTTTCTGGATTAATATGACAATTGAAATAACATTAGGTCAAAAAAACTTAAAAACAAAAACTGCTATTTTACTACTATTTTACTATTTACTAATATCAAGCTTATTCTTAATCAAATAAAAACATTAGTTGGAAATATATATTTTATAAAAAATATACATAATTATGCATAGAAAACTTCTATTCTCGAATAAACGTTTTGCAAATGTATTTTGCTTTATCATATCTTTTTTAATACAATGGATGTCTGTGGCAAGTTAAAAAGGTTTGGATTTATATATATACATATATATATATATATATATATATATATATATATATATATATATATATATATATATATATATATATATATATATATATATATATATATATATATATACATATATATGTATATATATATATACATATATATGTATATGTATATGTATATATATATATATATATATATATATATATATATATATATATATATATATATATATATATATATATATATGTATATATATATATATATATATATATATATATATATATATATATATATATATATATATATATATATATATATATGTATATATATATATCAGGGTGCATTGAAAACAACAATTTTTAAAAATTGCCTTGTCTGAATACAAAAAGTGCTCTTTATAATAAAATGACACTGAATTTAAAACATTTTTAAACAAAAAATATTTTTTAGGAACAAGACCCTTGAACATTTAAAAAGTCTCTAATATATATGTAAAAAAAGTTCTTCAAAAGAAGGTCAACCTGGTACTCAAAAAAGTAGGTCAACCTGGTACTCAAAAAAGTAGGTCAACCTGGTACTCAAAAAAGTAGGTCAACTTGGTACTCAAAAAAGTAGGTCAACCTGGTCCTCAAAAAAGATCTGGTACTCAAAAAAAGAACCTGGTACTCAAAAAAAGCGAAATTATGATAAAGTTCTAAAAATCATATTTGTTTTATAAAAAACATATAAAAGAACAAAAAAAATTTTTAAAAATTTGTATAAATGCTCTTTTTATTTTTGGTTTAAAATCAAAGGTTTTTATAAAAAAATTCAAAATATAAGTTTCTGTATATAATGAGTGTAACAAAGTAGTTAGAAAGAACATGACAAATAAACATTCCCATAGAGTATACCTAGATTTATAACTAATTTATAGCTAATTTAATATTTTATTAAAAATATAAATTAAATTGGTGTTTATACATGCATTTGTACTTATATGTTTATTTAATATTTTTGCGTTTTTTTGCAACTTTAGAGTTAAGGTCGATAGTTTTAAGTTTTGGAACATAGATTGCTAAATAGTGATGGTCTTATACCAACAGTCACCCTAATTGGTCACTCTTAATATAAATATGTCAACAAAATAGAGGGGACGAGGTCTGAAATTATTTGACAGTTGTAAACAAGAGAAGAAGGGTTGGTCAGTGAAGTTGTCCTCAACGATGAGGTCAACTTTACTGACCACTTAAAATAATAAAAAGTATTTTTTTTTTTATTTCAACTTTATTTAGACGGGAAGGTAATCAAAACTTGACGTAATTTTGTTGAAAGGTCTCTGAAAGTTTGACAAGTTGTTGACAAGGTGGAGGGGCTAAAAATACAGGACTAATTATAATTATAATTAGTCATGTTTTAAAAATAACAGTTTAGATTTGGGTTGATTTTGCTTAAAGTTTTTTATAATCTCATTTTGATAAATATAATGATAATGGAAAACAGTCCAAGCAATAAAAGTGAGGAACCATGAATGTATAATTGCAATACATATGTGTGTGTGTATATATATGATAGTATAATAGAAAACATTATAAAAAATCATAATGATTCAATAAGCCTTCAAAATGATATAAAAAATATAGTCATGGGTATCTATTAGACTCACAAAATCTAAGTATGAAAAATGCAAGGTTATGCGTATAGAAAAAAAAAAATCTAAATACTACATTTTTAATGTCCTATATTGATTGCAAATGTAATCTTGTATTATGACCTTGAATGTGACTTGAAAATTATGGATCAAATGGTAATCAAAAGACAACTCTGTTACTAGGAAACCAAACACAATATTTAGTATCATAAAAAGAACAGTTAAATGCATAAACATTTACACAGTAAAAAAGTTTTATACAACATTCTTATGACCACATATTGAATTTGCAGTATTTTTAAAATAATAATAAGACATATATAAAACTGAGGAGATCTATATAAAAACAATCAAACTAGCACATGCAATTAAAATGTAATAAAGCAAGGTTAGATATTATAAAATTAACAACAGTAGAAGAACATGGATTACATGGAGATCTTATTCAAAATTAAAAAAATCATTACAATCATTATAAAATGCATTACAAATCATCATCAAAATACATTAAAAAAAGGCCAACATTTACAACAACACATTTACAACAACACATTTACAACAACACATTTACAACAACACATTTACAACAACACATTTACAACAACACAGTTACAACAACGCAGTTACAACAACACAGTTACAACAACACAGTTACAACAACACAGTTACAACAACACACTTACAATAACGCAGTTACAACAACGCAGTTACAACAACACAAACTTAAACTAACAAATCTTATTTGCAGAAATAGATCCAGAATAGAGTGTAAGTTCATAGAACAATTTACTTTCTAACATATGAGAAGCTGATTTGATAAATAAATGACTAACAAAGTAAAAAAATCTCAACTTTTTTCTAAAACAAAGCAAAACAAAAACAAACTAAATAAGCATTTCACAGCTGTTTACATCAATTATTATGGTTATACTTTTATTATTGTTAGGAAGAGAAAGGTTCACTGAAGTTTATGCAGATAAAATAATATTTAAAACTTTCATCTCCTTTTTTTCACAACCAAATGCAAATCAAATATAAAAGTTAAAAAGTTATTTCAATTAATTTAAGTTATATAAAAAAAAAAAGTTATAAAATACTCACACAGTTTTGTAGTCGCAACAAGAAATGTCATAAAATTTTATTATAAGCTAAACTACTTTTACTAGATATACTAATTTTATTATAAGCTAAATTATTATAAGTTAAACCTATATAAAAAGTTTTTTAAAAGGGGTTAATTTGTTTCGGTCGGATTTCGAAATATATAAGTCTCCGGGTAATTCATTTCAAAATACTTTAACTCCCGGGAGTTAATTTGTTTCAAAGTAGATTAACCGGGGAGTTAAAATGTTTTACCCGGAGTTAATTATTCGAGGAGTTAATTCGTTTCGTTACACCGGCGTCAAACTTTGAACCTTTTAGTTCTGAGTCAGAACTCTAATCATGCCACAGCTGCTTGCCTGTTTATATGGGTTTCTAGAACTTTCTATCTTTCTATCTTTCTATCAAAGTCTATTATTTTGCGGCATCGAGGCTTTAAGAGATCCACAGTATTGGAGCATTGGTTCATGGCGCCACTTATTTTATGACTTTAATTATAGCTTTTTTTAAACCAACAATGTTGAATTCTGTTTGGAAACTTCTGCTAACTCAACCCAACAATTTTTGAACATGTTTAAATTGAGTAAATTGTCTTGTGAAAGAACATTATTCGCATGATTTTTTCTGACGTGTCTTGTCTAATAACAAGTTTCCCCGTCGTCCTCGTAAAAGTTTCACATTTTCACGCCGGACGGGGGAAATTAGCGTCCGCGTGAAAATATCACATATTTTTATTCAAAACCAACACAACAAAATGTTTTTTGAAATTTCCAAATAGTTAACAACTTTGACAGTCTCACCTTGTTGAATAAAATGTAAATCACCACGACAATTTATGCAGATAGCACCTCAAACCGTAATTGCTAGACATTGCGTCCCCTCAGTATTACCTTGTTCTATCTACAAATGTAATAAATAAAATCTTCTCATATATAAAATAAATACAAATTAATTTTTTGTCTCCGTAAGGATGATATTTTTTTTGTAAAAAAATGTACCCGTAAGAAACTTTTATGTAAACGAAAAGTACATACATCGACTGAAAAATAGCCTGACTCGCAAGGGATTGCTGCTACATCGACTGAGGGTTTAGTTTGGCCAGGCATCAACGTCAGGCTTAGGGTTAGGGTTATGGCAAGGTTTAAATATGACTATAATATTGTAATTATTCGTTTTTGTAAATAGATGAAGTTAAAAATGAAATATAATATAAATAAATAAAAATAACAAAAATTAATATAAAAAAATATTTTTATAATAAAATAATAAATTTAAATATGTATAAATAAAAATAGAAATAAAATAAAAATTAAAAATATATATAAATATGATAAAAATGTGTGTGTGTGTGTGTGTGTGTGTGTGTGTGTGTGTGTGTGTGTGTGTGTGTGTGTGTGTGTGTGTGATCAAATATATATGATCAAATGTATTTTGAGTGCGAAAAACCATATCATATTGCCATGGAAC